ACAAAAAAAAAAAAAAAACAAATTATCCAATTAAAAAATGTTGGGGAAAAAAAACAGACATTTTTTCAAAGAAGAAATACAGATGGCCAACAGGCCCATGAAAAGATGCTCCACATGGATAATCATCAGGTAAATGAAAATCAAAACCACAGTATCACCTCACACCAGTCAGAATGGCCATCCAAAAGACAAGAAATAACAAGTTTTGGCAAGGATGTGGAGAAAAGGAGACCCTCCTACACCTTTGGTGGGAATGTAAACTGATACAGCCACTGTGGAAAACAGTATGCAGTCCCTCAATAAACGAAAAATAGAAATACTATTCAACCATGTAATTCCACTTCTAGGAATTTATCCAAAGAAACAAAATCCCTGATCCAAAAAGATACATGAACCCCCATGTTTACTGCTGCACTGCTTACAACAGCCAAGATATGGAAGCAACCTAAGTGTCCATCAACAGATGAATGGATAAAGATGTGGTATATATATATACAATGGAACATTATTCCGCCATAAAACAAAAAGAAATCCTGTGATTTTCAACAACTGAATGTACTTGAGGGCATTATTCTAAGTGAAATAAGCCAGGAGGACAAACACAGATAATATGATTTCACTTATTTGTGGATAATAAATACAGAGCAAAACAGACTGAACAAAACAGCGGTAGGCTCACAGACACTGAAAAGGAACTGGTGGTTACCAGGAGGGAGAGTTTAGGGTGGGTGGGTGAGGATGGGGAGGGGGTTTAAGGGGCACAAAAATTCTCAGTCATAATGTAGGTTAGTCATGGGGATAGTAGTACAGCATGGAGAATACAGCCAATGATTCTGTAACATTTTCCTATGTTGACAGATAGTAGCTATACTTATGGGGGTAAGATTTAATAATATGGATAACCGTCAAGCCACTGTATTGTATATTTGAAACTAACATAAGAATGTATATCAACTTTTTTAAGAAAAAAAAAAAGAAAGTACTGATCATAAATAAATAAAGTTACTCAAAAAAAGATAAGATTTATAGGTTAGATTCTTTTTAAAAATGATCCATTAGTGTGTCATGTAAGAGAGAGATTTAAAATAAAAGGGGGGGAGATACAAAGCAAATAGTAACCAAAAAGACAGGCAGTATAAGAATTTTAAAAGGGAACAAAATTTTATCCCCAAACAACTTAAGGCGGAACACAAAGATACACAGTGGTTAAAAAGAAAACAGTTTAAAATACATAACAACTGTGAATAATTAATATCCAACAATACAGCATTGAAATATTTTGAACAATTTTAACTAGTATATATAACAAAATATACCAAGTAGAACATACAACAAAAATATCTCAAAACTGATAAACTGCATAACTCAGTCCATGCAGTCCAAAACAAGACCAAAAAGTAAGCAAAAATACATTAAGATAAAAGCTTAAAACAACAGGAACTGCATACCAAGAAAATCTACAATATACTTCCTTTTTGACTTGTAAGGGACATTCCTGAAAAATCACCACAAAAAAAGTTTTAATAGATACTGGAAATCAGAAATCATGAATTTTAATCTCTTTGGCCTTCCTCATTGAAGTGTAAGTTGTATCTCTTAAGTACTTGAAGAATATAAAAAGAATCAAACTTAATCACCAAAATAAAGGGAAGATTAAAGACCTAATTTAAAGATTCTGGTGACCTAGGGGAACAGTAAAAAGGGAGACAAACCTGATATGGCAAAAAGATTTTTCTTGTTAAGAATAAATTTTAAAAAGAACTTTAGAAATGATCTTGGTTGCAGACCTGTGTTTCCTAACAGCTAATGAGAAGAAAAACAGACCTTACAGGATAAAGTAGAATTTGCACTGTAGACAGGTAAATTCTTACTATGCCACTGCCTTTTTACATGCAAAGCATACTTTACCATTCTGGAAGAACTTAACACTATTGATGCAATTCCATTTAAGAAAATGTTTCAAACCAGGACTCTGATGGCTTCTGAACCATACAAAGTATCATCAAAACTACATTTTCATCTAGGTGGACAAAAAGAGACAGACCCCAAATGTCCCTGAATATCTTTTTCTCCAACTCTCTAGCAAAATAAGACAAGGACACCAGCTAACAAGCTACTCTTCAATTTGGTATTAAAAATACCGACCGAAGCAGTAAAAAGTCAGTGTGAGGTCACGGGGAAGACAGTGTAGCTCAGAGAAGACTAATAGGGACTCTGTGGCATCTTACTACACTGATGGACAGTGACTACAATGGGGTATGGTGGGGGGGGGGTGCTCGATAATAAGACTGAATGTAGTAAACACATTGTTTTTCTCGTGAAACCTTCATAAGAGTGTGTATCAATGACACCTTAATAAAAAAAAGTCAGATACATACAAGACAGAAGTAGAAAAGGGATATTGTTTTCAAATGACATGACCACACAGAAAGCTCAAAGGGTATCAACAGACAAATGAGAACTAAAAAAGAGTTGCCAGAGAAACATCAATATAGAAAAAGCAATAGCATTCCTCTACACCAACAAAAATAGTTAGGAAATGGAAAATAAGATAATATTCACAAAAACAACCAAAACTACAAATATCTTAAAGTTAAATGAAGAAAATGCATGAGTCCTTCAGAGAAAAATTTTAAACATCACTAAAGGACATTTAGAAAAGATCTGAGTAAGTAGAAAGAAATATGTTCCTAAGTAGAATGATTATACTGTCCTGCTAATTCACTCCAAATTAAACTCACTGCTGAAATGGCAGGACAGAGCTAAAAAGACAAGGCTCCACAACATCACACAGCTGTTGTACTCTAATCCCTGATCATGGATCTTAACACCCTATAACTTAAGTGCCAGGATCCATCTCCTAACTCTGACATGTAGCCCTACTAGATTTTCTCCTCAAAAGCAGTGGGCAACAGGGACTCACATGCCTTCTACTGCTCCCAACTCTATGGGTTTTCACCATGAATACTGCTCTAGCAAGCCTAACATGTGTGACCATTTTACCTTGTTTGTAGGATAGATATACATATATACATAAACAAATTCAATGTGTTAATATAAAATTTTAATTCCACTGAAAATAAATTAGAATTCACCAAAGAAAAACTTTTGCAACCATCAGTACTATCTGAAGTCTCAAGGTAAATGTTAATTTCACCTCAAATGATAAACATATTTTAATGTATATTTAATAATTTTTAAATTCCAACCTGCAACGTTTTCAAGCGTTTATTAAGAGGTAACTCATCTACTTCCAGAATAAAAACTTCAACTGCTAATTTCAGCTCTTGTTGCAGCTCATTTCTTTTAGCAATCAAAATAGTCCCTTCATTCTGGAGGAAGGAAAAAGAATAACCATTGTTAATTCATTAGGTGTTTTTTCACACATTGACCTATGTGAAAAAAACTGACCTTGTAAAATTTAACATTATATCCCCCAAACATACTAATCCTTAAAACACCTTGCTCTTTAGATCAACAAACTGACAAAGAGCTTTTTTCCTGTAACTAGAAATGACATTCAAGTTCAACAATCTTGCTCTAATCTTTATTTTTCCCATTATTTCTGCAAAAGTAAAATTTTTGCTTTTCTTAAGAAAATTATACAAGTTCCTATTATTATCTACACACTGCCTCCCTCCTACTCCCACCCTACCCTCAATTCCTTCATCAACTGATCTTTAAGGTTCATTCATCTGCACCAAGATAAAACCCCCACTTGCCCAAAAGATTATTTTGTAAATAGGTATGAGAGATATACAAGAATCCTCTGCATTTTGTCTGTTATAGTAGTTAACAAACTATATTGAAACTATTTATATATCTATCCCATACATAAGAAAGACAGAAAGAGAGGATCATAAACAAATTTGTGTCTCTGCTACCTGTAACAGTGTCTAGTACATACACTTTAAAGCCTGAATTTTATGATACTCTTCTTGTGTAAGCTCAACCAGACTATTTTAACCATAAAGACAAAAGAACAAAATTTTTTCACCAAAAATATACATGGCAATCAAGTTAAGGAGCTGTGCAAAATACAAAAATGAAAATAACAATACTAAGGCCCAAATTGAGCAAACAACAATACTAAGACCCAAATTAAATAAAGGGAAATAAAATGGCAACTTTATATGAGTGAAAATTATTACTCTGTATTTATCCAATCTACTCTTCAGTCTCTAAAATGAACTTTAGAGCAATGAAGCCTTAAAGGAAGTCCTGAAACACTAACAGTAGCAGAAACAAGTATCTGCTTTAAAAAAAGAAATTTGTTCTACTAGAATACCTAATCCTAGAGTTATATTAAACTCTCTCCCTCTGTCCTGAATCACTTTCCTATGCTCAAACCACAAAAAACAAAGCAAAAAATAGAAGAGCAGTTCTTTTCCATCTTATTATATGAAAATGCATTATGAAGTATTTTAGTGTTGGCAGTATGGTTTAAATGTTAAGAGAACACACTTTGCAGCCAGACACACCTGGGTTCGAATTCCATATTAACATTTTGAGCAATTTCCTTAAATACTGTGGGCCTCAGCTTTCTCATTAATAAAATGGGAGTAAAAATGCCCATTTTAAAATCACTGTAAGAAAAAGTTTATGAAGTAACTATATCATTACCTGTGTTTCATTCAGATTCAAAAACTATTACTTCTGTCACTTTTTTTCCTCCATAATCAGAAGTGACCAGTTATAGTCTAATATGTAAAATAACCCAAATATAATCCCTTCTCCAAATTACACATTCCTGGAATTTCCAAAAGCCTAGTTATTCTACTCATTTTTCTCATTCAAAGCTAGTTATGCTGCCAACTGACCAACTTAAGGATGAATAGGGAATAAGACATTCAGGGAACAATCTTCCAGAGACAGAAACCAACATACTTAAGATGGGACAACACCAAACAGAAGTACAGAGCTCACAGATACTATGGAAAGCTATGATTTCTGTACCAAATACCTTTAAATGAAAAATAAGGAATTCTGCTCAGCTCAATATAATAAAACTAAAGAAAACTGCAAGACGAAATAAATGTACTTTAAAAGAATTCATATAAAATATTCCATTCTTCATACCCCTACCTAGCCCATGAATAACTACCTCTTAACAATGGGTACCTTAGATAGCATTTAATAATAAGGTGGAATCCAATATTGCAGTCCAGAAGACAAGAACACATTAGCAGGTGTGGGAGCCAACCTGATTTAAAAGGCTCATGCCTCACAATATTTTACAGGCATAGATTTCAGGTCCCTCAGGGGTATGCCCAGTTGCAAGAGTCCTTACCAAGTATTTGGTAACAACATTTTATAATCCTTCCCAGTTTATTTAAAATTAACCAATCAGCAATTTTATTGACCTAAACAATGTTGCCTAACATGACTAAAATATCATTTTATCAATTATCAAGGGAACATAGAGAGGAAATTAACCAAAGGTCAAATTCTCATTCAAAAGGGGAAAAGATTTTGTTAACCTTTATCCACAATTACTATGTATCTATCCTACCTTTTTTTTACAAGGCAATAAAGGGAATAAAATTATTAATATGAAGATACTGTGTTAAAGGTTTCATGCAAAGTATCCTTACAATATCTCAGCCCTTCTGCCTTCTCAAAACAGCATTTTATTATGTTCAACAGATAAAAACCATAATAGAAAAAAATTCTTGACCCACCACATTCTGACAAGTTTGAATCTTTTCCTGAGCCAGATTGTATTCTGTCCAAATTCTCTCTAATTCATTCAAAGAAGCTGGGGTTGTAAAGCACTCTTCATCCAACACTTGTATAGCATCTGAAAGGTCATTTCCAAAATGAAGATTGATGCTGACACATCTGTATATTAAAAAATAGCAAAAAGAAAAGATCAAGAAATTTGTAAATTGGTGTGAGCAAAAGTAACACTAAAATAATAAGTCTAAAGTCACTACTTACAACACTGGCTTTGAAGAGATACTTTTACAACTTTACAAAATCACAAATAACTTTGATAAATTTTTAATTAAAAATGAGAAAAAATTAAGTATTTTCTTTAAACCTTTATATAATGAAAGTAAAGCTTCAAGTCTGCAGAATTTTAAATGATATCAATGGACTTTCAATTCTAGCCTACCATTAGATTGGTAAATACTTCTTTAAAACCTTAGACTTAGCTGAAATAAGTAGGGGAAAGAAAGACAAATACCATCATTTCACTGATAAGCTAATTCTAAAAAACAAACAAGCAAAACAGAAATAAACTCATAGACACAGAGAATAAACTAGTGATTGTCAAAGTGGGGGGAAGCAGGAGGAAGGATGATGGATAAAATAGATGAAAGGGAGAAGAAATTAATGAAAATGGTTGAGATCTTGATTTGGGTGATGGTTACATGACTGTATACACATGTCAAAATTCATTGAGCTATATACTAAGATTTATGAATTTTATTGTATACACTTCAATAAAAAATAATTTTAAACTTTTAAAAAATAAAAACTTTAGACTTAGCCAACCTGGTTTATCAACACCACAGGAACATAGTCTTTGTATACTAAAAAACAGGTTAGTATTCATGAAGTTTAAAAAAGAATGTTTTTTAAAAAAGGAATTAGAGGGATTGGATTAAAGATGGTGGTGTGAGAGGTGAGACAGAGACCTCCTCCTAAAACCACATTTAATACAAAAATATAATTAATACAACTAATCCTGAAAGAGCAACAGGAAAGAAGGCGGCACCAGACTGCATACACCTGGAGAAAAGAGCAGATCTCACAGAACAGGGTAACATACCAGAGCTATGACCAGATGGGTCCCAAGCCCTTCCCCCACCACAGCTCACCGGCAGAAGGAAGAGAAACAGAGCAGGGAGGGAGTGGAGGCCTGGGACTGCTGAACACCTAGCTCTGGACATCTGCTCTGGGAGCAGGAACTTACATTGCATGGTGCTCTGGTGATTTAGTGTGGTTGGAAAGCTAAGACAGGTGGAATACCTGGAGAGACAGAGATTCCAGCTGCTTGTGGAAAACAGGGATTCATATCTGGCTGATCTGGGTGGGCAGGCTGAGAGACTTCCTAAAAGCAGGAGGGCGGCTAAAGAGGCAAGGATTGCACAGAGCTTATGGCTCAAAAGAAAGGACAAATAGACAAAATTGTCCAGATGCATTCTTCCCAGCAGGTTGAGAGCTTAAAAGACCTTCAGGCACTCCATCCCCCTCGCTGGCTATGCAGGTCCAAGGCCCACCACCATGATATGCAGCCTGCTGTGTCTTCCTCCCAGCTAGCCTGCACCTGGCTCAGGCTCGCAAACCCGCAACTCCTGCCCTGGCATCAGGGCAGCTAGAGGGAAGCCCCACCTATGGCAGCTACAAACATAAGCACAGAGGCTTACACCTGTGTGTTCCGCCCACTGGTTCAGGCAGTGGAGACAGGCATAGCAGCTGGGAAGCAGGAAACAGCTCTTTCCTCCCCCCAAGCACCAGCAAGACTCCTCTGCGACCCCCAACATCTCTCCAGGGGTGGAGCACCTCCAGAGTACAGCTTCTAGTCACTAGAGGGCACCACAAACAAATTACAAAACATCAAAGGAACCTGGTTCAAAGCAAAATTATGAACACACCTGGGAAAGACTGAAATGAAACTGACCTCATGAATCTTCCTGAAAGATATTTCAATATAAAAATCATTAACATGCTCATGGAGGTACAGAAAAACATTCAAGAACTCAGGAACAAATTTACGATGGAGATCCAATCATTGAAGAACACAATGGAGGGTATTAAAAGAAGACTAGATTTGGTGGAGGAGACAATACACAAAATAGAAATTAGAGAAGAGGAATCAAAGAAGCTGAGGCACAGAGAGAAAAAAGGATCTCTAGGAAGGGAAGAATATTGAGAGAACTGTATGACCAATCCAAATGGAACAATATGCATATTATAGGAGTACCAGAAGAAGAGAGAAATAGAAAATGTCTTTGAGGAAGCAATTGCTGAAAACTTCCCCAATGGGGGAAGGAGATAGTCTCTCAGGCCATGGACGTACACAGATCTCCCAACACAAGGGACCCAAGGAGGACAATACCAAGACATATAATAATTAAAATGGCAAAGATCAAGGATAAGGACAGACTATTAAAAGCAGCAAAAGAGAGAAATAAGATCACATACAAAGGAAAACCCATCAGACTATCATCAGACTTCTCAACAGAAACCCGACATGCAAGAAGGGAGTGGCATGATATATTTAATGCAATAAAACAGAAGGGCCTTGAACCATGAATACTTTATCTGACAAGATTATCATTTAAATTTGAAGGAGGGATTAAACAATTTCCAGATAAGCAAAACCCGAGAAAATTTAGCTCCCACAAACCATCTCTACAGTGCATTTTGGAGGGACTGCTATAGATGGAAGTGTTCCTAAGGTTAAATAACTGTCACCAGAGGTAATAAAAAGGGACCAATAAAGCATACAGAATATAGTACATAATAAATAAAGAATGGAGGAGGAAGAAAAGGAGGGGGGAAAAAAAGAACCTTCAGATTGTGTTTGTAAAAGCATAGTAAGTGAGTTAAGTTAGACTCTCAGACAGTAAGGAAGTTAACCTTGAACCTGTGGTAACCACAAATCTAAAGCCTGCTATGGTAATAAGTACATACCTATCAATAATCACGCTAAATGTAAATGGTCTGAATGCACCACTCAAAAGACATAGAGTCACTGAATGGATAAGAAAAACAAGACTGAACTATATGCTGCCTACAAGAGACTCACTTCAAACACAAAGACATACACAGACTAAAAGTCAAGGGATAGAAGAAGATATTACATGCAACTAATAGGGAGAAAAAAGCAGGAGTTGCAGTACTTGTATCAGACAAAATAGACTTCAAAACAAAGAAAGTCACAAGAGACAAAGAAGGACATTAGATAATGATAAAGGGGTTAATTCAACAAGAGGATATAACCATTATAAATATCTATGTACCCAACACAGGAGCACCTACATATGTGAAAAAAATACTAACTGAATTAAAAGGGAAAATAGAATGTAATGCATTCATTCTAGGAGACTTCATTGCACTCATTCCAAAGGACAGATCAGACAGAAAATAACTAAGGAGACAGAGGCATTGAACAACAGATTAGAAAAGATGGACCGAATAGACATCTACAGAACTCTCCACTGAAAAGCAGCAGGATACACGTTCTTTTCAAGTGCACACAGAACATTTTCCAGAATAGACCACATACTAGGCCACAAAAAGAGCCTCATTAAATTCAAGAAAATTGAAATTGTACCAACCAACTTCTCAGATCACAAGGGTATAAAACTAGAAATAAATTGTACAAAGAAAACAAAAAGGCTCACAAACACATGGAGGCCTAACAACACGCTCCTAAATAATCAATGGATCAATGACCAAATTAATACAGAGATCAAGCAATATATGAAAACAACAGCACAATGCCCCAACTTCTGTGAGATGCAGTGAAGGCAGTTTTAAGAGGGAAATATATAGCAATCCAGGCCTATTTAAGAAGGAAGAAAATCTGAAATGAATACTCTAAATACACAATTATTGAAACTGGAAAAAGAAGAATGAATGAAGCCCAAAGTCAGCAGGAGGAGGGACATAATAAATATCTGAGAAGAAATAAATAAAGCTGAGAAGAATAAAACAATAGAAAAAATTAATGAAACCAAGAGCTGGTTCTTTGAGAAAATAAACAAAGTAGATAAACCCCGAGCCAGACTTACTAAGAAAAAAAGAGAATCTACACACGTGAACAGAATCAGAAATGAGAAAGGAAAAATCACATCAGACACCACAGAAATACAAAGAATTATTAGAGAATACTATGAAAATCTATATGTTAATAAACTGGATAACCTAGAAGAAATGGACAACATTCTAGAAAAATACAACCTTCCAAGAATGACCCAGGAAAAAACAGAAAATCCAGAGACCAATTACCAGCAATGAAATTGAATTGGTAATCAAAAAGCTACACAAGAACAAAATGCCTGGATGAGATAGATTCACCGCTGAATTTTATCACACAAAATACCCATTCTCCTTAAAGTTTAACAAAAAATAAAAGAGGAGGGAATACTTCCAAACTCATTCTGTGAATCCAGCATCACTCTAATACCAAAAAGAGGGAAACCTTTTCCAGAATTGACCACATACTAGGCCCCAAAAAAAGCCCCAGGAAAAGACACCACAAAAAAGAAAACTATAGACCAATATCCCTGGTGAACATAGATGCAAAAATACTAAACAAAATTTAAGCAAACCAAATTCAAAAATATATCAAGAGGATCATACACCATGACCAAGTGGGACTCATCCCAGGGATGCAAGGATGGTACAACACTCAGAAATCCATCAACATCATCCACCACATCTACAAAAGGACAAAAACCACATAATCATTTTCATAGATGCTGAAAAAGCATTTGACAAAATTCAACA